AATACCAAAGTGTCGATCACCTCAAGCAAGCGCTTCGTCGGGAATGGGCCAAAATAACGAAGAGTAACATTCGGGCAGCGTGTGACGGTTTCATTGGCCGTTTGAAGGCTATAATTCGAACAAATCTAAACTTATTCTAATATTTCCGACAGTTTTTGATTTCATGTAATAAAATTTAAAAAAAGCAAAAAAAGTTAAATTTATGTCATTTGACTTTGTTGCAGTTTTTTATACCCTCCACCATAGTATGGAGGGTATGTTAAGTTTCTCATTCCGTTTGAAACACCTCGAAATATACATTTTAGACCCCACAAAGTATATATATTCTTGATCAGCATAAAATTCTATGTCGATTTATCAATGTCCGTCCGTCTGTCCATCTGTGGAAATCACTCTAGCTTCCGAACGAAATGAAGTAGGTTGATAAAATTTTACTCAAATGTGTACCATGTCTGCAGGACTTTTGGTATTGAAAATGGGCCATATAGGTCTACGTCTTCGTATAGCCCCCATATACCGTATCCCCCGATATTCGGTATTTGGATGATTTTAGCGACGTTATTTACCGGAATCGTTCCAATTTTGATATTTGAAGTTCGTAATGGATACTACATCCTAAGACAGAAAATGAGCCATGTAGGTCCACGTCTTCGTATAGCCCCCATATAACGGTACCTCCCGATATTCGGTATTTTGATGATTTTAGCGACATTATTTACCGGAATTGTTTCACATTTTGTATTTGAAGTTCGTAATGGATACTACATCCTAAGACGGAAAATGAGCCATGTAGGTCCACGTCTTCGTATAGCCCCCATATAACTGTACCTTCCGACATTCGGTATTTTGATGATTTTAGTGACATTATTCACCGGAATTGTTCCAAATTTGGTATTTGAAGTTCGTAATGGATTCTACAGCCGAAGAGAGAGAATATTGTCTGTGCAGGTCCACGTCTTCGTATAGCCCCCATATAACGGTACCTCCCGATATTCGGTATTTTGATGATTTTAGCGACATTATTTACCGGAATTGTTTCAAATTTTGTATTTGAAGTTCGTAATGGATGCTACAGTATATCACAGAAAATTGTCTGGGCAGGTCCACGCCTTCGTATAGCCCCCATATAACGGTACACACCGATCTTCGTTATTTTCATGATTTTAGCGACATTATTTACCGGGATTGTTTCAAATTTTGCATTTTAAGTTCGTGAAGTTCGATATTACAGCCTATGACAGAAAATTGTCTGTGCAGATCCATGTTTTATAACCACCATGGTACCTCCATATATTCGGTATTTTGATGATTTTAGCTTCATTATAAACAGATTTTTTTTAAGTTTCGCGTTTGAATATTGTAATAGCTTGTGACAAAAGTTGCCCACGTCGTCGTATAGACTATAATATACGGCTACATTAAGTATTTTCAAGATTTTAAGAGAATTTATAAGCGATTTTTTTTTTGAAAATTGTTAAGTTTGTACCAAATGGTGGAGGGTATTCAGAGTTCGGCCTGGCCGAATTTACAGCTGTTTTACTTGTTTTTATCTCACCCTGTATGCCCGTTTTTTGTTAATACTTCTAAAACATTCTTCATTAAAATTCAAGAAGTTAATTAAACAAACAAAACTATATAATTTTAATGACGTCTACATGATCTTGTCTAAATTGCACAATCGACTGTGACCATGAAGCGATTTCATACCATCCTCTAGACACTTTTATCGCAAATTTTTGATCGATTTATTTTACGGCTCCCAAAACATATGTAGTTTCGATCGAACTCGATTATTTATCTCTGTCATATCTTTTAATTTTAATTAACATACAATTACCGAGAAATTGAAAAGGACAAGCGTTGAGAACAAGTTGCAAAGCAACAAAAATATTCTAATTTTTTTCACTTGGTTGGTTGGTAATTATTTTCGATTTTGTACAAATCTGTTACGGTCCAATTGAAACGTGTTTATGGACGTATTTTCCCTTTCCTGGCAGGGTGTTTATTATTTCACTTTTTTGGCGCTGACGTTTGAAATAAAACAGTTATTATTTTGACTAAAATAGTAATTAAAATTCAATGTCTACTTTTATTCAAGGCAGATAAGCGATGCCTATAGATTTCGAATTTGTTTAAGTTTTTACCCTAGTTTACAAATATGTATTGCAGTTCTGCTCTCTCAAACATGTATCAGTCGGTTTGGCCATTTGTGTACGTACACATCTTCATACCAAATCTAATATTTGTACAAATATTAATATAGTGAGTTGTAAAGAATCGCCGGATTGTTTCGCAGGTTATGACAAATATAAATATTGGAAATTGAGAACCTTTGTGGGTGAGGTACCAGAAGGGGTTGTATCATCTTTACAACATATCTTGCGTTAGCAAAAATATTTGGATGTGTGAAATTTGAAGAGATTTGGATGCTTATTTCGCTTTCTTTGAGCGTTTTTCAAAATCTTGAACCATATGTGGAAGTAATGGTCCGATCTCTACCATTTTTATAACAGATCTCGTGTTGATGGAAGTATTGAGATGTGCTAAGTCTGATTGGAATCGGATGTTAATTTCGCATTTTGTGAGTTTCATGGATATTTAAAATGTTGACCCTTTGCGGGGAAGGTACCAGAAGGAGTGGACCTATGTATTCCGTCTTCATACCGGACCTTGGGTTAATAAAACTATTGTGATGTGTGTAATTTGAAGAGATCCGGATGCTTATTTAAGATTTTACGAGAGTTGTTTTTATTCAAAACGTTGACCCTTTGTGGGGAAGGTACTAGAAGGAATGGTCCGATCTCCGCCGTCTTTATAATACAGGGTTGCCCATATTCGACGGACCTTTGGGCCCATTCCAATCGACGAGGCTTGTCCGCAGGCAACATTATTTGCGTTAAATGCATTTTGTACGGGAACAAATGCAAATCAATGCAAATAATCCGTTGTAAAGTGGACCGAGCCATGCCCAACTGCTGAGAACGGCGTTTATGGGATGGGATGTTCTTGGGGACCTCTCAAAACTGGCTCGTACGGCAGCGATATTCTCGGCCGATCGCCTTGGTCGACTTTTATATGGCCTCTTCGGATCAGAGCGTGGCGTGTATTGGTTCATGGTAAAAATCTGCTTGGACTGACGCTTCAAACGCGGTATGTCATTAAGCGATGTGTCATCTCTTTCAAAAGTTATGGCGTTGCCAGATGGGTCCGTCGAATATGGGCAACCCTTTAGATCTTGTGTTGATGGAAATGTTAAGATGTGCCATGTCTGAATGGAATCGGATATTAATTTCGCGTTTTATGAGCTTCATGAATATTCAAAATTTTGACCCCTTTCGGTACCAGAAGGAGTCTACTAATATACTCCATCTTCACACCAGACCTTGGGTTAATAAAAATATTCTGATGTGTGTAATTTGAAGATAATCGGACTGTTACATCACATTTTATAAGAGTTATAATTATTCAAAATGTTGACCCTTTCTGGAGGAGGTACTTGATGAAATAGACCGATATTGTCCATATTCGCACCTGACCTATCACTAATGCAAATACTAGGATTTGCATAGTAGGAGCAAAATCAGATTTTCCTTTCACTTTTAATTTCGATTTTTTGTGGGTGAGTTTATTGATAATATTACGATGTACCAAGTTTGGATCAAATTGGATACTCCCTTCGAGAGTTATTGTGCGATCCAGCCAGACAGGCAGACGTACGGACGGAAATCGCTAGATCAGCTACAAATATCCTGAAACGGATTTGGTACAATGATACCTAGGGTCTAAAGCCTTTTGGCAGTATCAAATGATTTAAGGTATATATCTCAAGCCAATATCCAGGTATTAACCATTTGTATGGAAGGTAAAAGAAGGAGGGATCAGGGTCCATATTTTCACTAGATCTAATGCAGGTGGTAGTACAGCATTGTTCGAAGTTTAAAGAAATATTTGTAAATTAGTTTGTATTTTATGAGGGTGGGGGAGGCACAAACAATGAGTGGACCGATATACCCCATATTCAAACTAGGGTATATATGGTTGGTAAAACAAGTAAGAGCAAGTGAAGAAGCTGTAAGTTCGGCCGGACCGATCTTTGAATGCCCTCCACCTTTTGGAACGATTTTGGCAAATAAAATAATAAAATCCGTTTAAAATCCTGTTAAAATCTTAAAAATACCGAATGTAGCCATTGTGTTAAGGTCTATACGACGACGTGGACCTTCATAGGCAACTTTTGTCATAAACCATTACAATATTCAAATGCGAAACTTGAATTAAAAAATTCTGGTAATAATGTAGCTGAAATCATCAAAATAGCGAATATCGGGAGGTACCGTTATATTGGGGCTATACGAAAACGTGAACCTGCATAGACAATTTTCCGTCTTAGGCTGTAGTACCAATTACGAACTTCAAACGAATAATGTCGCTAAAATCATCAAAGTACCGAATATCGGGAGGTACCGTTATATGTGGGCTATACGAAGAAGTGAACCTACATGGCCCATTTTCTGTTTTATGCTGTAGTATATATTACGAACTTCAAATACAAAATTTGAAATTTTAAAATTCCGTTGAATAATGTCGCTAAAATCATCAAAGTACCGAATATCGGGAGGTACCGTTATAGGGGGGCTATATGAATACGTGGACCTACATGTCCGATTTTCAATACCAAAAGTCCTGCAGACATAATACTCATTTGAGTAAAATTTTATCAACTTACTTCATTTCGTTCGGAAGCTAGAATGATTTCCACAGACGGACGGACATCGCTAAATCGACATAGAATTTTATGCTGATCAAGAAAATATAAACTTTGTGGTGTCTAAAATGTATATTTCGTAGTGTTACAAACGGAATGACAGACTTAATATACTCTCCATTCTATGGTGGAGGGTATAAAATACTAATGTTGGCCGGGGCAGACCAATTAATGCCTAATATTTGTATATTCGCCCAAGTCGCAATATAACTTAATTTTAAATTAAATTACTTGATTATCTTTTCATAACTTCAGGGAAGAATATATTTATTTTCGAATTTTGTAGAAGAATAGAAGTAATATGCATTGTTTACACCATGGGTTTGAATGTCATCGTCCAGGAACTCACGACTCTCTATTAAGAGGAAAATATTTAATTAATTATCGAAAAAGTATAACTCGTCATATCCTTTAACATAATTTAGTCATTTCAATTCTCTTACCTATTTGCCATTACCACTTCCGCCACCTCCCCCCAAATTGCAAGGTTCGGCATTGGCATAACCCAAAACGAAGGCCAAAGCCACAAGTCCGAAAGATAAGAGTTTCATTTTCTATTTGAGTGATTGTGAACTGAATACTGTTGGCATGTTCGCGGGGGTTTATATAGTCGGAAAATGATGTTAACATTTTGTGACTAATTAATGCAATGGATTGCTGAACGTGACAAGTAATATAGTGTAAAAATATTTGTATTTTATTTTTAATGTGTACTATTGAATAATTCGGAATATATTAAAAATATGATCTGATTTTCAAAAAATAAATTATATGTTTCGAAACTTATGGCGACAATGAACACCTTTTGCGAGGAGAGTGTTTTAATGAAATTAAATTACAGGGTTGCCCATATTCGACGGACCCATGGGCCCATTCCAATCGACGAGGCTTGTCCGCAGGCAACATTCTTTGCGTCAATTGAATTTTGTACGGGAACAAATGCAAATCAATGCGAATAATCCGTTGTAAAGTGGGCCGAGCCATGCCCAACTGCTGAGAACGGCGTTTTTGCGATGTTCTTGGGGACCTCTCAACACTGGCTCGTACGGCAGCGATATTCTTGGCCGATCGCCTTGGTCGACTTTTATATGGCCTCTTCGGATTAGAAAGAGCCTTACCAGTCGAAAATTTTTCGTATAAACGCTCAATGGTGTTCATAGAAGGCGCACTTCTCACATTTTTTAATGTTTTAAAAGCACGTTGAGTTTTCACAATTGACTTCTTGTAAATTTCAACTATTTCAGAGGGCTCGCGTGGCGTGTATTGGTTCATGGTAAAAATCTGCTTGGACTGACGCTTCAAACGCGGTATGTCATTAAGCGATGTGACATCTCTGTCAAAAGTTATGGCATTGCCAGATGGGTCCGTCGAATATGGGCAACCCTGTACATGCACTTTAGCAGAAAAATCTGACTAGGACATTTAAACAAAATCGGTCGTTACTAGGTCATATGTCAAAATTTGTATTTCATGGTTTCCATCCATTAAGAACACGGACTATAAAAAATGTGTTGGAAATGCTGGATGAAACCTAAAACCCCGAAAATCGTGGGGCTGTACTAATTAGGAAATTTTACTCATGTGAAATATTTAAGATCTTAAAAATTGAGAGATACAGTATAGGAACTATACTCACGTGGATAGACAGGCTGATATAAAAAACTGCAACAAAGTCAAACGCCACAATTTTTACATTTTTTTTTTAAATTTTATTGAATGAAAGCAAAAAGGTCGAAAATAGCATAAAATTTTAGAATAAGTTTAGATTTGTTCGAATTGGTCATCTTTGGCACGAATTATGGCCTTCAAACGGCCAATGAAACCGTCACACGCTGCCCGAATGTTTCTCTGCGGTATTTTGAACCATTCCCGGCGAAGCGCTTGCTTGAGGTGATCGACACTTTGGTATTTTTAGTGCCAACCTTGCTTTCCAAAATACTCTAGACACAATTGTCCAACGGATTAGTATCCGGAGATTTTGGTGGCCATTGTGCGCTGGAAATGAAGCGAGGAACCTCATTTTGTAACCATTCTTGGATGGAGCGTGCTGATTGTGATGGTGCTGAGTCCTGTTGGAATGTCCAAGGTCTGCGGCCAAAATGTTTGGATTTAATACACCCTCCAGAATATTCGATTAACACGAGCGGAGAGCGACCATCGGGTGTTATGGCGGCCCACACCATCACCCTGGTCGGCGCTTGAGTTCTGGTGGCCAACCGAAGGTGCACATTTTCAGCTGATCTCTTTGACAAATAAACACGATTATTTTGTTTGTTTACAAACTGCTGGAAAACAAATATTTTCTCAGCGGAGAAAACCAAATTCGGCAGTTTACCACTTTCGGCCAAGCGAAGCAAGTCTTTAGCTCTTTTGAGTCTATTTTCTTTCTATTTCTGTAGCGGTGTAAGTTCTTGCACTTTTTGGAATTTCAATGGCTCATTTTTCAATATTTGCCGAATCGAATATTGCTCTCGAGCCATTTTTCGGCCACTGCGACGCGGCATTCGATCAAGTCGCTTCTTTACTTTTCGAACCATTTCTGCTGATGTAGCTGTTTTCTTCCACTTCGTCCATTTCCTTGACGTTGGGCTACGCTGCCAGTATCACGGTAACGAGCGATGGTACGAGACACAAAAGATTTATTCACATTTAAATGCTGGAGTGCTCCAATGATAGTCAGTCAAATATAAAGAAATCACACTATCCCGCTTGAATTCCATCACGAATAACTTTTTTTCTGGAAATTCGCATCAAATCCTTTTGTGCGCTGGTAAACAATAAGTATAATGGAATAATTTTAACAGATGTCAGACGAGTGGCTTAGAAATGACATCAGTCTGAAGTTGGTTGCAGTTTTTTCATCTCACCCTGCATATTTGGTCCAATTTGGTATTTGGTGAACAGGTATTGACTTGAAATCTGAAATTTAATGTCAGGATCGCTTTTTATGTGTGACTTGGACATTTGGAGGTGGTTTTGGAAATAGTGTATTATAATTGTAGAAAAAGTACTAAATGGTACTAAACTTAGTACTGGGTGAAGGGGTATTCAAATCCTCAAACTTGAAATTTGGGGGTCTGTTGATATCAGGAATTGAGGTATGGAGGTGGATTTGGAAATGTGTACTATAATTGTTCAAAAAGTACTAGAAGTTGCTGGTTTGGAAATGATAATAAATGTGGTATTGGCCGATGGGTTGATGCCGAAACCATGAAATTTTTATTTGCGATAACTAGAAGGAATGGTTTTACAAATTAGTACTAAAATTATGCGAAAAGTACTAAGTTTTGCTAAATTTTGTACTGGGTGAATGGGTCGAGCTGGAATCCCGAAATATGATATCTAAGTCTCTGTTGGTATATGGTGCTGAGATTTGGTTATGGTTTTGTTAATTCGTACTATAATTGTTCGAAAAGTACTAAATGGTACTTAATTTGGATCGTTATTGGTGTCTAGGATAGAGAGGTGTAGACTGTTTTGGATATGCGTACTAAATTATTATTAAATTTTGGTTTTGGGTTAGGGAATATGACATTGAGACCACTGTTGGTTTTTAGGGTTTACATATGGAGACGTTGAAATAGTAAATTGGATGTGGGCCTATTGTGCAATGGTTATACTAATATCCTCCCCGGTAAACGTAGAAATGAAAGATTTTTACACTTTCTGGTGTAAATGGTTAACATTTTTCCGTTATTCTTACGGAAAAGGAAAAACTTGAATATGATTTTTTGAAAATCTGAACATTTAGTACAATGTATGATATGAACTCATTGACATCCTGCAATCGACTACGAAGCTTATAGAAAATCTTGTAAGTTTTTTAAAATCGACTCACTCTCAGCAAATTATCAAATGCTGAGGACATTTACTATTCCGAGGATATATCTTATGTAAACTCGCACCAGTTTCCTCATAATTTTGCTAAACCTTAAGACTAGGATATTCCTAGGTTATTTGGGTCTCTTAATTATTCTAAGATCAATAATGAGTTTTAAAAAGTCACATTCAAAATTAAATTTTCAAAATATATTACAGGTCACGTTCACGCACACATTACATCAATTAGTCACACTATTTGCAATATAATTTTCCGACTATATAAACCCCCACAGGGCATACCAACAGCATTCAGTGTTGTTCAATCAATCGAATTAAAAAAAAATGAAACTCCTATCTTTTGGACTTGTGGCTTTGGCCTTCGTTTTGGGTTATGCCAATGCTGAGCCATGCAATTTGGGCGGAGGTGGCGGAAGTGGTAATGGCAAATAGGTAAGAGAATTGAAATAAAAATTTGTATTATAAAATGAATAAATAATTAATTATTTTCTTTATTTTAGAGACTCGTGCATTCCTTTTCCCGCGACAGACCCATGATGTAAATGGTTTATTGTAGTAGTTGCCTTCTCTAAAAATTCGAAATAAATCTTTGCATGCTCTTGAATGTAAATGGTCTAATTTTATTTAAAACAAGTTAAAAAGTATTAATCGGTTCTGTCGACAGGCTAATATCATCAGCCATTGTTCGATTATTTAAATATATGTTGACTTCTGTTATGATTATTCAAACTATTGACCCTCTATAGAGTGGGTTCTGAGGGAATGGGCCAATATTGTCTATTTCGTATCGAACCTAAAAAAATACGATATAAATATGGGGTAACTGGGTAACAGGTTGGTAACTTCCTTCACTTTACATAACACATGTGATAATTTTTAGAAAATGTTAACATGTGCGTGGGGTACCAGGTATAGTCGACCCAAGTATTAAATTTTCATGCTTTATCTAATACATATAAAAATGTTGGTTGTTTTTCAAAATCTTAAACCATTTGTGGTCCGATCTCTACCATCTTTATAACAGATCTTGTGTTAATAGAAATATTGAGATGTACCAAGTCTGGAATGGAATCGGATATTAATTTCGCTTTTTGTGACATCCATGGATATTCAAAATTTTGACCCTTTATAGGGAAGGTACCAGAAGGAATGGTCCGATTTTTACCGTTTTTATAACAGATCCTGTGTTGATGGAAATATTCAGATGTACAAAGTCTAAATTGAATCGGATGTTAATTTCGCGTTTTATGAGCTTAATGGACATCCAAAATTTCGATCTTTTGTGAGGGAGGTACTAGAAAGAGTGGATCGATATATTCCATCTTAACACCAGATCTTGGGGTTATAAAAATATTGGAGTGTGTGAAGTTTGAAGACAATCGGGCTCTTACATCACATTTAATAAGAGTTGTAATTATTCAAAATTTTGACCCTTTGTGGGTGAAGTACTTGATGGAGTGGACCTATATTATCCATTTTCGCACCTGACCTAGAACTGACGCAAATATTCGGATATGCAAAGTTGGAGCAAAATAGGATTATCCTTTCTCTTTCTGTGCAAAAAATATATTTTTTGAAAATTTCGACCATTTGTGGGGGAGGTACCAAAAGGATTGGACCGATGTATTCCATCTTAAGAATAGACCTTGGGATAATAAAAATACTGGGATGTGGGAAATTTGAAGACAATCGGACTCTTACTTCAAATTTTATGAGAGTTGTAATTATTTAGAATTTTGACCCTTTGTGGGAGAAGTACTTGATGGAGTTGACCGATATTACCTATTTTTGCACGGGACCTAGCACTGATTTTTATACCCTCCACCTTGGAAAGGAGGATATATTATCTTTGTCATTCCGTTTGTAACATCCTTAAATATTCGTCGTAGACCCCATAAAGTATATATATATTCATAATCAGCATAAAATTCTAAGTCGATTTAACGATGTCCGTCTGTCTGTCTGTCTGTCCGTCTGTCTGTCTATTGAAATCACGATACAGCCCACATTATTTGACATAGAGCGCCAAAATTTAGCAGAGCAATTGGTATTGTGTCTAGGATGGTTGGTATTGAAAATGAGATATATCGGTCCATGTTCTGGTATAGTCCCCATATAACGGTACCTCCCGATATTCGGTATTTTGATGATTTAGGCCCAATTTTTTCATGGATTTGTCTGAAAATTGGTATTTGTAGGTCATAACGGGTCCCTGTACGTGTGGCAAAACATTGCATGTATAAGTCCACGTTTTGGTATAGCCCCCATATAAAGGTACCTACCGATATTCGGTATTTTAATTATTTTTGCCACATTTTTTCACGGATTTGTCTAAAAATTGGTATTTGGGTCCTAGTTCGTGTGGGGAAACATTGTATGTATAGGTCCACGTTTTGGTATAGTCCCCATATAACGGTACCTCCCAATATTCGGTATTTTGATGATTTTTGACACATTTTTTTACGAATTTCTCTGAAAATTTGGTAGTTGTAGATCATAATGGGTCTCAGTTCGTATGGCGAGTCATTGTAATTATAGGTCCTCGATTTGGTATAGCCCCCATATAACGGTATCTCCCGATATTCGGTAGTTTGATGATTTTTGCCACATTTTTTTCACGTATTTGTCTGAAAATTGGCATTTGTAGGTCATAATGGGTTCTAGCTCCGGTGGCGAAACATTGCATGTATCCATGATTTGGTATAGCCCCCATATAACGGTACCCTCCGATATTCGGTATTTTGATGGTTTTTGACACATTTTTCTCTGAAAATTTGGTAGTTATAGATCATAATGGGTCCCAGTTCGAGTCATTGTAATTATAGGTCCACGGTTTGGTATAGCCCCCATATAACGGTACCTCCCGATATTCGGTAATTTGATGATTTTTGCCACATTTTTTCACGTATTTGTCTGAAAATTGGTATTTGTAGGTCATAATGGGTTCTAGCTTCGTTGGCGAAACCTTGCATTTGTAGGTCCATGATTTGGTATAGCCCCCATATAACGGTACCCTCCGATATTCGGTATTTTGATGGTTTTTGACACATTTTTCTCTGAAAATTTGGTAGTTATAGATCATAATGGGTCCCAGTTCGTATGGCGAGTCATTGTAATTATAGGTCCACGGTTTGGTATAGCCCCCATATAACGGTACCTCCCGATATTCGGTAATTTGATGATTTTTGCCACATTTTTTCACGTATTTGTCTGAAAATTGGTATTTGTAGGTCATAATGGGTTCTAGCTTCGTTGGCGAAACCTTGCATTTGTAGGTCCATGATTTGGTATAGCCCCCATATAACGGTACCCTCCGATATTCGGCATTTTGATGGTTTTTGACACATTTTTCTCTGAAAATTTGGTAGTTATAGATCATAATGGGTCCCAGTTCGTATGGCGAGTCATTGTAATTATAGGTCCACGGTTTGGTATAGCCCCCATATAACGGTACCTCCCGATATTCGGTAATTTGATGATTTTTGCCACATTTTTTCACGTATTTGTCTGAAAATTGGTATTTGTAGGTCATAATGGGTTCTAGCTTCGTTGGCGAAACCTTGCATGTGTAAGTCCATGATTTGGTATAGTCCCCATATAACGGTACCTCCCGATATTCAGCATTTTAATGGTTTTTGCCACATTTCTTCTAATGTTTCCTTTACCCTAAGGAGGAGGGTATTAAAAGTTTGGCCCGGCCGAACTTAATGTTCTTTTACTTGTTTTAATTAAAACTAAAATTCATTCATCAAAAATTTTTTATTTGTTTTAATCGTTTTGAAGTTAAACATTTAATATCAACAGTGACACCATGAAATCATTTATCAATTTTTTGGGGGATACAAATGATGACCTGTGAATAGAATAAAAACGGAATCAACTCAACGTAAAGAATCAATAAAATTATAACAAATTTAATAAATCCTCCTTTGCAAGGTGGGAGGAGTATAATTAAAAGAAGAGAAAATACCAACTGTAAGGTTGTGCTTATCTTACCTATTTGCCATTACCACTTCCGCCACCACCGCCCAAATTGCATGGTTCAGCATTGGCATAACCCAAAACGAAGGCCAAAGCCACAAGTCCAAAAGATAGGAGTTTCATTTTTTTATTCGACTGATTGAGTACTGAATGCTGTTGGTTTGTCCGGTTGGGGTTTATATAGTCAAAAACTGATGTTGGAAATAGTGTGACTAATCGAGGCAAAGTATTACTCTACAGACGAACGTGATCAAGAATACAATTTGGTTAATAATTTCAAATGAAATATGTCATTTGTAAAATTATGTAGTTAGTCGTGGAACTCATTGTACATGGAAGGTTAACTGAAATTTGAAATTTCCTATGTTGAATATAACCGAATACAAAACAAATAAGCAAAGGCTATAGACGTGCGGGGCCGACCATGTGATACCCTACAACACTACAATTTGTTAGAAGTAGAAGAAGTTCGCCTTTTGTGTATTTCGGATATCGCCTGGTAATGATGGTATTTTTCACACAAAGGTGGTGGTCCATTCTACTCGCTGTAATAAACTCTACCTTTATGCGAGATTTCGTGTCCTTTGGTTTCTATTTGTGACCTTTATAACGGCTGCAAAATCAGGAACATTTTTAGTTGTTGGTCCATTTCAACCCCGGAAATGGACCAACGGACATCTTTGAAAACAATAGGCCTAGCCCTTCTGAGCCCAACCCTACCCTTGTGAAAATTTTCGTGAGAATCGGACGATATTTGCAATTCTTATATAATATCCCCAACCTGTGTTGTAAGATGAAAAAATATTACAAAATATTATAAGTCAAATTGAAAAAGTCGCATGCGATAAAAATATGAAAAAACAAGTAAGCAAAGTTACAGTCGAGCGGGGCCGACCCTACAACACTATAATAAACGATACATTTTATATACATTTCCAATTTAATTAACGAAATAGTCAGAAGTGCGTCTTTCCTGTATTTGTGAATTCTCCAAAAAGTCACTGGAATGGACATTTTCGTATTTTGTCTACAAAAGTTGGCAAACTCCTTCACACATTGAATATTTTTGGATGGCCACACAAAACTGCTTGGCTTTTGCAATGTCCGGTAACAATTTTGCAGTTTTTTGGTCCATTTAAAACCCTCAATATATGGCGATCATCTCAAAAAAGAGTAGGCTTCTATTCTGACCCTCATCTTATCTCCATGCGAAATTTCGTAAGGATCGGGCCATAAATGCGATCTGTATATGATATCCTGATATCCTAACTACTTAGTTTTGTTAGCTGTAGAAATATTACCAAATGTTTAATTCAAAATGAAAATATGCCAAAAATATGACAAAATTGAAAAAATATGAGAAAATATTACAAAATCAATATTTTCATTTTTAGAGAGATAATTGTATGCGTTTTTTAGACATTGTTTTCCTTTCCTGCCAAGAGTCCATTCTGAGATAATGAGAACTTTCGAAATCAGTTCAGCCGTTCTCGACATATATGAGATCTTTCAAGCATATCTTCTTTGATAGACATATATATCGCATATATTTGCTATGTATTAAATTTTTTGGATCTTAACATCAATGTAAAGATCAGAAGTAACCTTGTCATGGCTTTGTGATTTCGCCGGGATTTAAAATATTCGCGGTTTAATGACAAATTTTGAATTTTTTCAACAAAAAAATATGGCCTATTTTACCCGCTAAAGATTATCTGATGACCACCCAAATTGGTAGGCTTCTTCCCCGCCCTAAACTCTAGCTACATGCGAAATTCCGCGTCGATTGGTCTATAATTGCGACCTGTATAGCTACTGCAAAATCCTAAATTTTTTCAGTATTTGGTCCATTTTAACCCCTAAACATTTGGCGATCATCTCCAAAAGAAATAGGGTTCTATTCTGACCCTAGCCCCACCTCCATTCTAAATTTCGTGAAGATCGGGCCATAATTGCGACCTGTAGAGTGATTACAAATTAACATGGACCGATGGACAGACGGACGGACGGACATACATAGCTAGATCGACTCAGCTCGGCGAGATAGGAAGATCCATATATACTTTCCTAAGTGGGAAACCAATATTTCGTGGTGTTACATAATTTTTGGCATAATCAAACTTATAATACCCCCAACACATAGTGTTGTAGGGTATAATTAGGTACAGGACGGACTTTATTTGAAATAAACCAACATTTTTAAAATAAGATTTTGAATAATATCATGAAGTAATAGGGGAAATATGATATTGGATATATCCAAAGGGGTTTTGAGTACTACGGCGAAACTTCCATTTATGAAATATCATATACTAGTAATGTATTCATACATTTTCTTTATTACTGATCACGTTTTCGTTCTTTGTTTTTCTTTGTTATCTCAATTCGTCACAATATTTACAATGTTATTTTACTATATAAACGCCGCCTGAACTCACCAACAGCATTCAGTACTTAATCAATCGAATTAAAAAAATGAAAATCCTATCTTTTGGACTTGTGGCTTTGGCCTTCGTTTTAGGTTATGCCAATGCCGAACCATGCAATTTGGGCGGAGGTGGCGGTAATAATGGCAAATAGGTAAGTGAAGTGCAATAACAACTTGATGTTATAGAAAGCATCGGTTTTTACTTTTTGGATACATTTCAAATAATTTCATCTTCTATTTAGAAACTCGTGGATCCCTAGTCTTTGACAAGCCATCCCATGATAACCGGCTCATAATAATTCTAATCATGTGCAAAAAATAAAAATAATAATAAACTCTAAAAAAGTTACGAAATACAAATGGTGATATTTAATTAAAACCAGTAAGGAAAGGTCGAAAATCATGGAGACGGCCCTCCATGATACCCTACACCACCATACCTATTTAGTGGGACTAGCCGTAACAAATAAACCTTTTTCAAATTCGTATTACGACTTTAGAGCAGTTATAATTTGGAATCACAGGGATCTAATATATGGGATGTTCATCCAACTCTGAATCAGTTTCCACCAAATTTTTAGGGAGGCATTTATACCTCTCGTGCCAAAGAAAATTGTTATAGACTGAATGATATGACTGTGAGTGCCGGAACCGAACTCTGAATACACTCAACCATTTAGATCGAATTAGGAAATTTTCAAAAAATAAAATCCATTGAAAATTATGTTAAAATCTTAAAAATTCCGAATATCGGAAGGGGCCGATATATGGGGGATATACTACTATATTGTGGACCTATGTAAACAATTCTATAGTAAAGTACTAAAGTACTTACAAAGAACTCCTTGTGTAGAATTTCAGACAGTTCCATTGGAAAATGTGGCTAAATTAATAAAAATACCGATTATCGGAATGTCCGTTATATGGGGGCTATAGGATATGGTGGATCTATATAAAGAATTCCCTTCTAGAGGATAAAGTGCTCACACGGAACCGATTCACCGATTTCAGCCGATTCCATTGGAAAATGTGGCTTAAATCAAAAAAATACCGAATATCGGAAGGTGCCGTTTTTTTTGGGAATATACGATATCGTGGGCCTTTCAGGGGGTAAAATATTCACAAGGAACCCCTTGTGTGGATTTTTAGACAATTCCCTTGAAAAATGTGGCTAAAATCCTCAAAATACCGAGTATCGGGAGGAACCGTTATATAGGGGATGAGTGAAATCGTGGACCTATATAGATAATTCTCTTCCAAGGCCTAAAGTAGTCACAAGGAACTCCTTGTGTGGATGTTTAGACAATTCCATTGTAAATTGTGGCTAAAATTATCAAAATACCGAATATCGAGGGTTGCCGTTATAAGGGGGGATATATCATCAAAATACCGACGGACGGACAGGACTAAATCGTCTCTGAATTTTACGCTGATCAAAAATATATTTACTTTGTTGGGTCTAAAATTATTTCGATGAGTCATAAACGGAATGATGATCTTAATATACCATGTATGGTGTAGGGCAAAGCAAATTCTATAGTCGTTTGGTGCCGACCATGTGATACTCTAAAACACTATAATATGTTGGAAGCCCCCTTAGGTCTAAATCCATTTTGTCTGATTTCGTTTTTGAAATAATTTTCTTTGTCCAGTCGAACCTCTAAATTTATGATACCCTACACCACTTTGGTAATTTAGTAGAGCTCCACATAACAATTAAAAGATTTTATGGGAGAATTTAATAATATGATTATAATTACAATTTAAAGTTCAAAGGACTAAATAGGCCGAAGCATTTGTATCTTTTAAATTCGGACTTGTATTGCCCATTTGGTGCACAATTAATTTGAAATCGGATAAAAATATATATGAGAGCTATATCCAAATCGGAACCGATGTCGATAAAATATGGCAAAGATATTTCTGAGCTGTATTTGATATATTTCCCTGAATATCGTTGTTACTGGGTGCATATTACGGCTGTGGGTAACAAATACTACAAATCGGATGAACAGTATATATAGGAGCTATAGCTATATCTGAACCGATCTTCACCAAATTTGACATACTAGCTTCTAGACTCAATTCGGTCGTAAGTGCCAAATTTCATCCAATTTGGGCAATTTTACACGTTTGGCGCACAATCAAAGGTAAATCGGACGAAGTTATATATGGGAGCTATATATTCAAATCTGAACCGATCTCGATAAAATTTAGCAAATGTATTTCTGAGCTGTATTTGATATATTTCCCCAAAAAATGTTGTTACAGAGTGCATATTACGGCTGCGGAGGACAAAAATAACAAATCGGTTGAAAAATATATATGGGAGCTATAGCCATATCTGAACCGATTTCGATTAAATTTGGCATACTTATTTTCAGGCCTAATTTGGTTGTATGTGCAAAATTCCATACTATTTGGGCTTATATTACACGTTTGGTGCACGATAAAAAGCAAATCGGACGAAGATATATATGGGAGCTATATCTAACTTTTTACGATTATCTCCAATTTCAATAGGGTTCGTCCTTGGACAGACGGACAGACAGACTGACGGACGGACATGCATAAATCGACTCAGAATGTGATTCTATGCAGATCATCCAAAGGAACTGGGTCTATCTCGTTTCCTTTTGCCTTTTTCAAACAAATGCACAAAGACATAATACCCTGACCACCTTGTAGTGTAGGGTATAAAAATGAAAGAAATAAATAAATAAAAATGGGAAAAACCGGAATAACAGTCACAGGTTTCGAAATTCCTATGTTGCCATAAATTCTATGCTATTCCCAAAAACAAATATATACGATTATATAACAGTTTATTATATGATATCGATTTCAAATTATATATCCTATCATAAAATACATAGTTTTTTTTCTCGACTACATCTTGTCGCCGCAATTTGACAGTAATGACATTTATCGCAAATGTTTCTTCTACATCTTCTTCGTGTTGTGGTTCCAAGAAATGTTATGAAAAACCAGTTAACTTCGAAGTGTGTGTGGGCGCTGGTCAAGTTCAAACAGCAAATGGAATTGAAAATTATTGAAAATACAAAAAATAGAAAAAAAAATATCAAAACAAAACCCATGGAATGACATATTTTCTGTTCACTCGAACAATTCATTAGCAGAGAGTATTAATTAAGCAAATAAAAAGAAAAAACCAGTAAGGAAAGCTCAAAAGTCGGGCGGGGCCGACCATATGATACCCTACACCACTATGCATATTTAGTAGAGCTCTCGTAAAAAGGTTTATACAGGGCATTTCAGAGCTCTATGAGATATTTGGTACAAAATCAAAATCTATCTAATTCTATCGTGCATTTTACGAACTATAGCTATCTCTGAACCGGGTTTCTCCAAATTTTACGTATTAGCTTCTAGACTGGTGATTTGGGCTGATATTGGCCATTTGGTGGTCAATTAACCCGAAATCGGATGAAGATATATATGAGAGCTATATCCAAATCTGAACCGATTTCGATAAAATTTAAAACAGCTATACCTGTGCTCCATCTAATACCTGGTACCAAATATCACGGTTGTGGAGTGAATATTACGAATGTGTGGGACTAAAACTCTAAATCGGATGAAACATGTATACGGTTGCTATATCTATATCTGAACCGATTTTCATTAAATTTGATATACTTGCTTCTAGGCCGAATTTGGTCCGATGTACTAAAATTCAGTCCATTTGGACTTATATCGGCCATTTGGTGCACAATTAACCCGAAATCGGATGAAGATATATATGGGAGCTATATCCAAATCTGAACCGATTTCGATAAAATTACAAACAGCTATTTCTGGGTTGTATCTTATATCTGGTACCAAATATCATTCTTGTGGAGTGCATTTTACGAATGTGAGAGGCTTAAACACCAAATCGGATGAAAGATATATATGGGAGCTATAGCTATATCTGAACCGATTTTCTCCAAATTTGATATACTTGCTTCTAGGCCGAACTCGGTTGGGTGTGCCAAAATTCAGGTAATTTGGACTGATAGTGGACATTTGGTGCACATTTAACCCGAAATCGGATGAATATATATGGGAGCTATAGCTGTTTCTGAACCGATTTTCTCCAAATTTGTTGTATTTGCTTTAAGGCTAATCTCGGTCACATGTGCCAAAATTCGGGCCATTTGGGCTGATATTGGCCATTCGGTGGTCAATTAACCCGAAATCGGATGAAAATATATATGGGAGCTATATCCAAATCTGAACCGATTTCGATAAAATTTAAAACAGCTATTTCTGTGCTCCACCTAATACCTTGTACCAAATATCACGGTTGTGGAGTGCATAGTAGGAATTTGAGGGACTTAAAGATCAAATCCGATGAAAGATATATATGGGAGCTATAGCTATATCTGAACCGATTTTCTCCAAATTTGACATACTTGCTTCTAGGCCGAACTCGGTTGGGTGTGCCAAAATTCAGGTAATTTGGACTGATAGTGGATATTTGGTGCACATTTAACCCGAAATCGGATGAAGATATATATGGGAGCTATATCTTTGGACTGATAGTGGATATTTGGTGCACATTTAACCCGAAATCGGATGAAGATATATATGGGAGCTATATCTAAATTTGATCCGATTCTCACCAATTTCAATAGGGTTCGTCCTTGGGCCAAAAAAATATTGTTTGGAAAATTTCATCTCAATCGGATAATAAATGCGACCTGCATTTTGTTCACAAGAATACATGGACAGACGGACGGACGGACGGACAGACGGACTGACATGCATAAATCGACTCAGAAAGTGATTCTATGAAGGTTCTCAAAAGTAACTATGGGTCTATCTCGTTTCCTTCTCCATGTTACAAACAAATGCACAAAGACATAATACCCTTACCACTATGTGGTGTAGGGTATAAAAACACGGTTTGCATTTGAAACTTGGCAAAGAAGATTCGGACCGGATGAAAGAAAAGAAACCAACTGAAACATGAATTTTTGTTTCGTTGTATCTCGTTTCTCATCAATTCTCATCATCACTCTGGCTATGCAAAAAATACACGCATGTAGTTGAATGTGTGATTGTACACATATCTACAATCAATGGATGCATATATGTATCCATTGATTTTTCCAGCCATAATTTTTGCTGGAATTAGAATTCAATTCTGTCAAAATCTGGTTTTTATTAAAAAAAAGTTTGAAATATCTTTAAAAAAAAAACTAAAAATCTTTAAATTATTATATGTCATTAATCTTCTAGATAAAAAGATGCTCACATTGAATCAAGATGCTGTCAGCGGGTAACACAGATTATAAATTTGAAATTATGGTACCATAGCAACATTTAATTAAATAATAAGAACTGATGTGAGA